GATGAATCTACTGTGATACTAAAAAAAAAAAACTCAGTAGATGTCTCTGTACCATGGGAATAGATTTTTAAATTAATAATAGGTAAATTAAAATTGCATCTGCTCTGTAAATGTATTCTGTCTGTTGAATAGGCCTAACGCTGTCTGCATCACTGCATCACTTTATGAAGTGAAGTTGAAATAAAAATACCTAAATACAAATTTCAGAGACAGTCTCAGCCTGATTTCTGAAGGGCACACAAGTAATTTGAAATGTTCTGGTAGAAGGGGTTATGTAAGTCGCACGTATCATTACAGTGTGCATGGTGTAAAATTAAACCCATAAGCATTTAATTGACTCAGTAAAAGAGTTTGATTATTGTTTCAAAGTGATTGTTCAGGCTCTTCTCATCCCAGAATTATAGCTATCTGAGAGAAAAAAGCAAGTCTGCAGTACAATTTAAAATTGATATTTTTCTGCAGTTTTCTAAGTTTTATGTGGTCCAGTAACGTTTCAGCGATTCAGCTCCTTGCCAGGTGATACAGTCTCTTTTCATATGCAAGACCTGTTGAAAGGCTGTTCTCTGCCCTGCTGCGGGTGGCCTGGGCAGCTCCTGGGGAGCAGTGCTGCTGCCTGGGCAATGCGCAAAGCCTGGCCTTGCTATTCTGACAAACTGACCCACAGCCTACAACACAGTTTCGTTTACCAGTGTCTTCATTTAGTGCTTTTCTCTGAATTTATGACCACTGTTGTGCTATTGTCTCCAGTACAACTGGAACACTGATAACTGTAGCAGGTTTGTGCTTCAGTACCACAAGTCCTCCTCAGCACCTTCATCATGACTAAAGACACGAGCAGACAGACTGTATTTGAAAATATCTCCACTGTCTGCCAGAATCTCCTGAGCTTGAAGGAAAAGTAAAAACTACTCAAGACCTTTAGCACTATAATTGTATAGCAGTTGGAGGCTCAACCACCTGTAAAAAGATTAAAAAAACCAACAGCAAAACCTCAGCCATGTGGTAAGCAGGTCTGTGGTCAGTATATGGTGTAGCTAAACATGCTGATGCTTTATGGAGAATTCTGGCCTTTTTTTTTTTTTTTAGGTTAAGAGGAAACCCAGGTAAGCCTGTTCCACTGAGGGATGTTCCGTACAAGATCTGGGATATAACACAGAGAATATTCTATAGACGGTGATCCTTCTTGAAATAGTCACCGTGTTCTCTCCTGAGACTGCAGTAAAGTATGTCCACAGTTGCAGGGCAGGGCAAAGGGTGTTTGATGGAGACTGAGCCTATGTTATTTAAAGCTCGATGGCTGGTACCTTTCCCTGGTTTGCATGGAGATGGATATGTAACGTTTCTAGAGGCCAGATCATTATGTACATACTTACTCTTTGAATTAATTACACTGAAACACCCTACAGACCATAAATACCCAGAAATTAATCATAAATGAGACTTGCTCAAGTACAGTATTGCTATAATATTCTGCAGCAAGTAACTTTGTTTGACATAGAGATGAGGCAAAAGGATGGACCATAATTATGCCTTTTACTAGTAGTAGTATGTTAATAGTAATATTTCACAGCACTTTGTAAGTCAGTATAAGAATCAGAGAAGATAGATGAAGTGACTTCACTGAGGTCATTCGGGAAGCAAGAAACTGAGAATAGCATTGAAAATGCTTTTTCTGTGCTGTAACTGCTATATAGTCTCTGATTGTTAAAAGGAATTAATGATCAGCCCTGTGCTATCTCATCCTTGACTTTCACTAAGTTTCAGTACTTCAGTTTGTAACAGATGCATACTGCAAAGGAAAGGTATGAAGGGGGGAAAATTCTAGAGTGAAAATTCTAGAGTGAATTGGTGGGGGCAGCCAGCAAAAACAAGTAGATCATTGCGGTGGCACACCCTGGAAGTATTCCCTGTTGAGCTTCCTGGCTTTGACGTTCTTCATAGTTGGGGGCCCTGTTTATTCCCCCAGGGGAATAACAATAAACAATAAATGATTAATTTCTGGGTATTTATGGTCTGTAGGGTGTTTCAACGTTATTAATTCAAAGAGTAAGTATGTACATAATGATTATTCCCCCAGGGGAATAAACAGAGCTTGTATGTCCTCTAGTCCGTACTTCTCATGAGCCTAAAGGAAAAAACAGAGTGTGTTGCAGACTTCTCAATCTTCTACTAAAGTCTGTTTCATTAAAATTTTGTTAGGAACTTTTGGATTAATTGATTCCTAGGTTGAATCATAAATTTGTAGCTACTAACTGTGGAGGTCTAATTTCACAGTTAATCCACATTTTGTTATTTTTATGGTATACAGAAACTTTTCTGTGTAATAGTTTCTTTTACTGGTCCCGTTCAAAACCTTTTGCACCCTGCAGCTGGGTGCTATAGTGACTGTGGTATGTGGAAAGGGAATAGTACATCTTCCATTTAATGCTGAATATATGCTGAAAAATTTGGGAAGTCATATAAGGTCAAAAGGAATGAATGCACTGAGAGACACCTGACTTTCCTGAGACAACTGAGTTACAAATCAGCAAAGATGTGTTGTCTAAATGTTCCCTGTTTTTCAAGTGTAAGAGGCATTAGTTGGAACAGTTGCGTAAGTGAGGAAACTATACATTTTTGTGTAAGGCTGTTTGTTGCATGTAGAAAGCTTAAAGGCTTTTTAACAAAGCCACACAAAGGCATATCTAATGTTAAATCAGTGATTGTTAAAAAAATGTTGACTTTGCTGGTAGGATTTACTATAGTTATATTTTTATTCAGTAAGGAAAATTTCATTGCTAAGTTACAGATTAAATGCTTATTATCAAGACTTGAATATTAATCCCTTCATAAGGGATGAATGAGGATTTTTTCATTTGATATTGCCCTTGACTTTTCTGCTTTGTGATGTTCTTTTAAGGCTTTGCACAGTAGCCATTTGATTAGCCTGTAATCCGATAAGATAAAACTTGTCCCTGTCTTCTGCTTTTTTTTCCAAGTACCACAGCTTGTTCCCCTTGATGTGCATAAAGACAGCATAGTTTCAGAGACTATAGGTGAGGACAGCATGCGAATTCTTTTTTAATTTATCTTGTTACTTTAATATTAATTGCAATTTAATAATTTTTTCCCTCTTAGAAATGCCAAAACCTCCAAATCACGTTGTTCTAAATTATTTGTCACTTTTTGGCCCTTTCAAACCAGACAACTGACTCCTTTTCTTTGTACCAGCAAAGTCATGTGGGAAAAAGATGCATTTTATGATCTTACTCTTCTGTAAGGCCCAATTTCCAATAAGTAATCAAACCGTCTGTTTGGCTTTTCACTATGCAACATAAGCGTTCTAAGTAATTTAGGGCAAGTTAGTTAATTCTGTCCTGTGTGGTAGTTTGATATGTGAAACAAACTTGTTGCCTCTTTAAGGCTCATTTATGGTCTTACAGTTGTGATTAAAGTTAAAAAGTTGTGATTTACTAGTATTGAAAAAGGAGAAAAACAGCTTAGTAGAGCCATCAGAAAGTTGATTGGGCAAAATAAGCATTCACGCTTGTCTTTCCCTTATATATTTAGCTGTGTAAATGCATGTTTTTAATTTTTGGTGGTCCACTTGATATGTGTTCTTCTCCATTGGAAAGTGGTGAGAAAGAGACCACCAAAAAAGAAAGGAGAAGGAAAGGCACTTCTCTAATCTTGTGTGATTTTTATTTTTTGAAAGCTAAACATCCACAAAAACGCCATCTGAAATAAAGTGCAAGTATTGTAGTATCAAGGAGGATCAAAAGACGTATGGAAGAAGCCAAAGGAGTATCATGGGGTTAACTGGGAGATGATGAACAGTGAAGTACAAATGAGCATGAATTAGAACTTTCTAACAGAAGAGGTTATTGACACTTACATTGCCACAGGGCATCAGCTTGGTAGGTTCAAAATAGGATTTGACATCCACAAGCATGCTAGACATTGTCTTAATTGTTAAACTGAACTTTGGGCTGGATGGTGAATCTCATATGTCAATGCTTGTTGGTTTCTAGCTACTGGGGGATAACAGACTAATAGGGAAATTATTCTAATTTTTTTTAAATGCCAATATCCAAGTGCCATTGGTGACAGTGTGAGACTGGACCCCAAAATGCAGGAGTAAGATAAAGTATGACAATTGCTCTGTTCCCTGTCTATGGCTCATTTTTGGGATAATTCACATGAGAAGCATTTATGAGGCCTGGCTTTCTAAAGGTCCTAAACACTGCTCATTGTCACAAAACTATATTATCTATCAGAATCATGCACTCTCGTTATGCAAATACATGAATAAAATAATACTTGGAACAGGTCACTGACAGACATTGTAAATTTGTGTGAGAGCTTATTGTAACAGAAAGAGTTACAACAGCAAAAGTCGAATACTACAATTTACTCTGTAACTCAAGTCTTGCATGCCATGTTTCAGGCTTTAGTGTGTATTCATGGTTGATTATAGACACCCTAAAAATAGGAGCATATAGTGGAAATGCCGACAGATTCTGAACTATCACGATGGTAACAGGGAGTGCTATAATTAGGCATGCATCTGAGTAGACAGCGTAATATGATTGCCGTGTTTATACCCTGTGCTGGAAGGATTGTTTGTTAATCTGCACAATCCTTTTAAATGATTTGGGGAGCCAGAGTTTGTGGAAAAAAGATGCTGAGGTTTATTTCATATTCAGGCTGACGTTTGTGTGTATCAAAGGACAACAAATACTTGCAGGATATTGGATAACTCTGGTTAACTGCATAACATGTTGTTACTTCAGGATTGAGAAAAAAACATCAGAATTTACCTGAAAACTTCAGGAACTGTACAATTCAGTGGGAGAAAACATTCTCTCTTTATATTATAAACAGAACATGGTTGAAATAGTTTGTATTTCAGTAAGAACTTTTCTTTCCTCCATTTTTAGGCATGTAGACTCTCCAGTCAAAAAGTCTTTTTCTCCTGTTTTCTTTTTGCTGTCAAACTACTGTTTCTTTTGTAATTTCAGAGGTCAGACCCCAGCTGTTGCTGAATTTAACTTGCTCCTGAAGGCGTATTCTTTGGAAACTTATGGTGTTGATCCTCATCCTTGCAAGGTAACAGTTCTTTTTACTAACATTTAATAAAATGCTCTTTATACTAAGATTTAGTAAAAAGCCATTAGTTGCATTGATTTAGCTCTGTTTTTCATCTAGACACAAATAGGGAATAATTTATAAAAGAACTTGCCCTGGAACTACATTTTACTTTTAAGCCTTGGAAGTGAGGCTTCCTTCCTACATTTTTGCATCAGTCAAAGGAAAAGTCTCTCCAGAGGAAGGCAAACATCATAGGAGAATGCAGTAGGATGTCATGACAGAAGTTTTGATTATACTTTATAATTTCTTTGCATTTAATGCAAAGGTTTCTCTAAATACTCCAGGCATGAAATTTTTTATATTTGTCAGGATTTTCAGGATTCAGCGTTATTCTTGTGCAGAAGATGCAACAACTTGTTAGTCCTTGGCAGATTAGTTTTTCAAACACCATCAAAACATGCAAATCTTAGGAAGAATGGCAAACCAAATGTACAGAGGGGAGAACCGGATATACATTTGCATATTCCTCTACTTTGCTGTTTTGTAGTTCTCTGTAAGAAGGTGATTTTAGTTACCAGTTCTGATTATCCCTTGTACCTGCATTTTTAATTACTTGGTTTTATCTGCATATCTGCAGTGTTCGTTTTAGTGTTACTTATTTCACGTTTTAAGGGCTGCTTTTGCTTTGGCTTGTGTACCATTTCATTTGGTGGAACTGCAGTGCTGTCTGTTAGCTGTTCTGGTGGTGAGTGCCCTTAAACAGGTAGCTCTAACATAGAGCTGCACGGGAGTTCGTATGCACTTTGCTAGGACTGCTGGTCCTGTGTGGAATACAGGGTCTGGTTCAGAGCTCAGTGAAGTCAGTGACTTAGTAAACTTCAGTTAGAAACTATATTGCAGATTTTCAGAAGACATCCTTATGATGTCTTAAGACAGACTTATGCTGGCACTTAGGACGAAGCCAAAACTGGCTCAGAATTTTCTCTTTACCTGTGTGGCAGGGCCTGTAGTGTGGGGGCATGCAGGGGTTCACGGCCCATGCTTACGGAAGAAGTTTCAGTCTCCTGGAAGTGAACTGCAAAGCAAGGTGCTTCCCTGGCTCCTTACGACATGCTCCTTCCAGAGTTGTGGCTGCTACTCTGGACGCATCACAGTTTCTGTTCCCCCTTATTTTGTTGGTGGAACATGAGGCATGATGACGTTGACTGACTTTAGCAAGTGAGGGTCTAGAACTTGGGATGGACAGGAAATCCAGTTAATACAAAACTCACCTGAATCATTGCTTAAAAACTATGAGCCAGAACTTTTACTGTGGAATTAAAAATTTAAAAAATGGTCCTTTCCATTTGAAAGGCAAGTGTTGCCATATGTTCTGGTTTGTCCTCAACAGTACTTGCTTTTTGTAGTAAATGCTGTCTGTCAGCAGTAATTCCAACACAACGTCTTGGCGGAGGAACAATGTATTGTGGAATCTTAAAAAATACGAGTGTTGGAGCAGATATGAATCTCTGGTTTGTAGTTAGTCAGCGTGTTAAGGATGAGCCATACACAGAGGTATGTTTTCGACAAAACTAGTAAGTATACCTACGGATTCCCCATCGTCATCAAATACAGGTAGATGGAATCAAAGCATAAGATAGTGTTACTCAGTTGAAAGCCTAGAAATAAATGAGGACTGCATTGCCAAGAGCAGTCTTTGTTCTTCAGAAGTGTACAATTTGAAGACAAAATTTATTTCACCAAGGAAAACAAAATGGAGGTAATCTGCAGTGGAGTAACAATTCATGCTGTCAGTAAGAAATACCTCACTGGATGAGGGGAAAATTATATTTCTTTTTTCTCTTTCAAGGACTCAACTGGGATGACTACATTTTTAGGATTCACAGCTGCAGGATTTGTAGTTTTCCAGGGGAATAAAAGAATTCATTTGTTAAAATGGTAAGCATATGAAGTAAGAGTAGATTAATATGCAAGAGTCTTTCCTCCTGTTTCTTCCCTTCTTCCTGCTATCTTCACCTGCATTTATTGTCTTTAAGGTGAACCATGTGAATATTCCTTCTCTTCCATCATATTTCTGTTTTAAAGGATCTTCGATGAGAAGTAGAATAATAATAATGTGGTCTCATTCTCCCTCCAGTGAAAACTGTTCCACAGGGTGCCTTAGTCAAAATAATGCAGAAATGCTAAAATTGAGTAAGCTGGTTTTTCAACAATGCTGTAAATCACCAGTGACGCTTGTTGGCAGAGATGGCTGGAAGAGTGTACAGGAGTTCACCTACATCTTTATTTGTGACTCTTGGAAATGTTGCCATTTCCTCATTTAATTAATCTCGATTTGAAGACTGTAAAAGGATTTATTTGGTAGGCTGAGGAGAGGTGGGAATGCCTTTGAATTTTTATTTTTTAGTCTCCTTTTTTAAGAAGTGGACACTTAGGCAGTTGTCGTCAGTTTGTCTGGCTTTGCTTTTCTTTTCTTTTTTGCTTTTCAAATGTTTTTTCAAAAAAACATCTGATTTAATTGGGCGGCCTGAGCTCCCGCAGGTGGAGTAGCAGCAGCTGGCCATGCCCTCAGCAGTGTGGTGCAGAGTGAGCACAGTCATGCAAGGACACTGATAAATCTCATTTTAGTCCTGCTGCTAAACAGATGCCCACAACAGTTACTTAAATGTGGTTGCTCCACCTCAGCACTCCCAGCCTGTCTTGTGGGAAGAATTATGGGAAGAAATGGTAAGGCGGTTTTTTTTGTGTGGAGGTGGACTGTTTGCTGCATATCTATAGAAACCTCCCCGAGAGCTGACTAACCTGAAATCCTCAGAGGTGTAAAGTCAGTGTGGTCCTGTCTGTACGATTTAGTTCCCTGTGGAGCTCTGGGGATGTGTCTATCAAATACCACCCATTTGTGATCTTGGATTTGTGCTGTAGTTGAGGTTCGCCCCGTCACAATGGTTGTGCTTTTGGCACAAACCTCGGTGGTTTGTGCTTTTGGCATAAGGACGGTGTAACTGTAATGTCAGTCCGCAGTGCACGGAGGAGAGAACAGCACTTGCCGAGCGTGTATCCACCGTACTGTGAGAAATGAGTTTCACAGCGCTTAGTTTTTCATACTACTCAAGGATAACATGTCCCGTCAGTGATCTCGGTGCATTCGTTTAGTCCATTGGCATGTAAACCAGATACAAAATTAAATAGTGATAGAGGAAAAGCCATTAAGCTCTCTCAGTGATAAGCTGGCCAATGGAAGGTCAATCTAGTGAGATTTATCTGAACACTATGTACTGCTCCTTTCATTTCTGAGACCGAGCAGTCAGTGCTAGTAGCTTTAACTGATATTAGCTGAAATTTGCACTACACAGGAAAAATCCAGATTCATATTCGAGGTATACTTTTCAATGGAAAAGCTTTCTCAACTAAAATGTCTTTTTGTTGTTGTTTAATGTTAAAGCAAAACTTGTTATTAAAGTTTCCAGGATAGCATTGTTCTTGTCTCCAAAATTGTTCCCATTTCAACCATATGACATGCAAAATCTCTGAAGTAGTTTATGAAAAACCGCAGTGTCTCCAGTTTAGCTGTGGTAATGGCAAAATTTCCATTACAATTTAATCCGAGGCATCGTATTGCCTTTATATGGTGCACTGCTATTCCATATGTAGATTGTGCTTTCAACGTTGATTAAATTAAATTTTGACATAGGTTTGCAACTCACAAGGCAGTAAGTGCTGTCAAACATTTTCTTTTTCTTCCTGTTGTGTTCTGTCTGTAAGCAGTCAGTTACTAAGCTGTGTAATATAAAACCACAAATAAATAAGGATAGAGGTAAGAAGTTGCTGGTGAAAAGTGCCTGCATCTAGAAAATTGTAGGCCGCCTTATGCAACATAGGCAGGCTAAGAGTATTGTCTTTCCCTCAATTTAATTACATTAAATGTTCCAAGATTTTAAGATATAAGAGGAATTACAAACTGTGTAATAAATAGAACGTAACATCAGCTTCTGCCTGCCTTTAATTTCCTCTTCATCTTCTAGCAGCCGAAGTTAAGTCTTTAAAGGTGCATAGAGATGTAAAAGAAATATTCTGGGCTTATGTTCTCTACTCTAAAGAAAATTAGAATATTAAATGCTTTTATGCTAAAAGGTTATAAGACTTCCGTTGAGGCTCTTTGTCATTTGGCAGCCTGCTTGACTTGGGAAACCAGAGGGACTTGCATGCAAGTTGCTTTTCTTACCTGTAGATCTATTTTTTCTATACTTAAATGTTTTTTCTCTTTCCAGGTGTGATGTCTATAAACTGAAATTTGAGGGGAAGACTTTTTATGTGTTTGGAGCTCAGAAAGAGGTCAGGTTTAATATTTTTACAGAACTTCTGTATTTGATATAGAGTCAACCAAAACATAACACCATTTTTTAACTAAACAAACTACTAAACAATCAATTCTTCATATTTCATATTGTAACTAAAATACAGAATATGAATGAATGTGAATATTGCTGTTGTCAAAAGAATGTCTAATTTGCAAAGGGTTGAGGCATTTCTCACTTAACATTCATCTACTGCTGTGCTTATTGCTCATGGTTTTGGTTGTCTGTGTAGTCAAGTTTTAATGGATTTTAAAGTGCTAAAGCTGTACCCATCCACTCTAAAGCATGAGCAACATCTGTATAGGATTGAAAATTCAGGTGGGCATTGATACCTGGATCAATGTGATGTATTTTTGGCTAATAACGATCACCTCTTTAAGTCTTGGTCAGCTGAAGAGGCTGGATTCTGTCCTAGGTCATTAGCAGTCCTATAATTTGGCTCTTGCTGTTGAAATCGTAGGGATTTCTGCCTACAGTGTGCTATAATCAGTTCTTCCCCTAGGGTGGAGTAATATAGCCTAAGATCATGGCTTTGGATGCAATCCAGGTGAGGAATAGAAAATGGAGGAAGGAAATAATGCTTGAGGTGTCACGGGCTGTTTGTGTGGTTGCAAGGAGGACTTGACGGTAGGACATAGGGAACAGGGAGAAGTGGACGGTAAGTAGTGCAGCAACTGCGTAATGTGGAATATTGAGCATAGAGACCTTCCTCCAATTTTGGCCTGAAGACAGTTGGTACAGATTTATTCTACAAGCCACTTGTATATATGCACTTCTCTGCCCCCTCCAAGCATCCCTTTTTATTTCTGAAACAATTGCCTGGGCAGTTTAATTTCAGCTACGTATCTGTGTGAACCACAGATGAAGGCTACACAGGAAAACATGGTCTTATGTGTGTCTGGTTCATGGCGATGCTGTCATGTACAGCTACTTCAATCTTTGAGAATTCAACATTGTGATTACTTTTGTTTGCCTTGTTTTCTTTGCACTTAGAAAAAGGCTGTGCTGTCATTCCATACCTCTACACCAGCAGCCTGCAAGCATCTTTGGAAATGTGGGGTGGAGAACCAGGCTTTTTACAAGTATGTAAACCTGAAGTCATTATTTATAATAATAAAGGTAAAAAAATGTGTATGTGAATAGAAGATTGTTCAATGTGGAATGTTCCCTTTCATTAGCAGAATTCAAAATGCAAACAGAAAATATGCAAGTTAATGGGGAATATTATTTCATTTCAAGCCAGTATTATAAACTTTTTAAAATCTGAATGAGGCAGGAGGGTTTTGGCAGTGGATAATTACACTTTTCCAGCTCAGTTTTTGCCACTCTGTAGTGTGACATTGGATGGACACAGTACTGCACTTGTGTCTGGGAACGTAATTGTTAATCTTAGCCTTGCTGTTGAATACCTTGAGAATGGAGGAAACAATCTGTTATGCTTGATTCTCTGGGCTTTTCTGCCCATAGGTAATGTTCTCCCACTTGAAATCCAAGGTTTAGTAAGAGTTGATTGGAAAAAAAAAAATTCTCTGCAATGATTGAAAAAAAAAAGAAGAAAATGTTCTTAGATACATTTGAAAAGATGCCAGCCATCTTGTTTAAAAAAAAAAGCCTGTAAATTGACAAGAAAAAAGGAGTATCTTCTTCCCTATTCCCTAAAAGTGAACCTGAAAATAATTCCTCATAAAAAATCTCTTACGCATTCTTTCTGCTCTTCATTGACTTTGTTATATCTGTTTATTGATGCTTCCATTTAGGCACTTGTTCTTGCTACTTGGTCTCTCCTTACAGCATCTTGCATACTTTATAAAAAAATGTTGTTTCTGTGTTCGAGCATAGCAACACTGGGGGCTACTATAGGGGTAAATAATAACTAAGTAGGAAGAACGGTGTCTTCTAACATGGATGTTAATGACCTGCTTTATTTTGGAGAAGATTCCTTCTTTTGTTTCAGCACTGATACAATATTAGATCAATATAATCTATTCAATTAATATATTCAGTAAAGAAAAAGGAAATATGAGCTGGCACAATACAGCTGTTAATTCTCTGTGTTAACATCTACTGTGTTTGAGACTAAATAAAAAGATTATCAGGAAGTGTTTTCCTTTGGAAGTACATGTAAGTAGGAAAATAGTATTTCAACAGTTTTATTTTATGTTACTAGAAATAAATATAGGGAATAGGAAACCATTCCCACCCAAAGGAGAGAAATTAGTGCTCGAAGTAAAGATACGTGAGGGAGACTTACAGAGATATCATCTCTCTGCTCTTAAATGATTGTAATGTTAACTGTTTGGGTTTTGGTCACAAATACATGGTTGTGGTGGTTCTGGCATTGATGAGGTGCCAGATGCCCCCCCAGCTGCTCTCTCACTCCCTCTCCTCAACAGATGAAGGGGAGAAGATAAGAGAAAAAAGCTCATGGGTTGGGGTAAAGATAGGAAGATTGCTTACTGATTACTGTCACGGGCAAAACAGACTTGGCTTGTGGAAGGTTGATTTAATTTGTTTCTCAACTTCTTACTCTATTTTTAAATGACAAGAAAGACAAAACTAAAACCACTCCTCCCCTGTTCTTTCCCAGACTCAACTTCACTCCTTAATTCCTGACTCCTCTATGTTCTCCTTGCCTTGAGCAGTGCAGGGAGATGGGGAATGGGGGTTGCAGTCAGTTCATAGCAGTTTCTTTCTGCTGCTCCTTCCTCCTTACACTTTACCCCTGCTCCAGTGTCCTTCATGAACTGTCCCAGCATGGGTCCTTCCCATGGTCTGCAGTCCTTCAGGATAAACCTGCTGCAGCATGGGTTCCTCCCCATGGGCCACAACTCCTGCCAGGAGCCAGCTCCTGTGTGGGCTCTTCAGGGCCTTCAGCTTTCCTCAGGGCATGTTCACCTGTTGTAGTGCAGGGTCCTCCACAGGCTGCAACGTGGATGGCTACTCTGGTCTTCCATGGGCTTCAGGGCGACAGTGTGCTGCACCATGGTCTTCTCCACGGGCTGCAGGGTAGTCTCTGCTCCAGCTCTTGGAGCACCTCCTCTCCTTCTTTCTTCTCTGATGTTGGTGTCTGCAGGGCTGCTTCTGTCTTGTTTTTTTTCTACTTTCCAAATGTCTTCAGGGCCCTACTGTGGGGTTATTACTTTAGCATGGTTGCTTAAAATTATGCTTGCCTGTTTCAGTTTTGGTGGTTCTTAAAAGAAGACTACTTTAGTAAAATGAAGAAGTAAGTGGTAGTGATATTAAGTGGAGAGGAACCTGGCTGGTAGATTGGAAAATAGTAATAGTTAATCAGCAGAGTGCAGAAAATAACAACAATCCCCCAAACATGAACTGAAACCAAAGCAATCTTTAAATAAAGGCTTAGGATAGTAGTTTTGAAACAGCAAAAGTTTTCATCATTTCAGAGAAACTGAGCTGTACACTGTGGACTGTTAGTTACTTAACATCATTAGATAAATCCTTTCTGTTTATGTTCTGTTTGATACCAACAAGTTATTCTAATTAGATTAGAACAGATGTAGCCAGGTTGTGTAAGCAATTCATGATAATGACACTTCGCCTTGATTTGATTTGGCCCTCTCCTCTGCTTAGAAGAGCTTGAGGCTTGGAATTTAAGATAAGGTCACAATCTCTTGGCATGTCTTGAAAAACAGAGCTTTAGTTCTGTCTCAATCCAGGCTCCGGGTTGACTGTTGTGATTATTTTCAAGTAGATACAAATCATAGAAGATTGTCTACTAGGGTCTAGGAATGAGATACCGGATACGAAATCAGTTTGCCATTTTGAAGGCAGAGAACATCAAGGAGATGGCATGTCTGAGGTACTCTTCCATGATGTTTGTGATAAAAGACCGATAAAAGGTTGCTGTGATAAGAGAGAAGCAGTAATAGGCTGTTAAGAAGTTGACTGTGTTAGAGACATTGGAAATGCAACTACTTGGAGACAGGTGTTACCAGTTCTTTATTATTTCTTTGCTCTACTAGTGGGAAAGCGGAAATATCCCTATCTTTCCACAAACAAGGTGGTGTTAAGGCACACTTGTCCTAGGGGCTTTTGGTATACCAAGGTCTTTCCTTCATCCTGTGAATGAAAGTCCCTAGAGATGCAGCAAGTGTTGTCATTTTATTTTCTGGCTTTCCTATCCAGGTCATCGCTTGCTCTATGTTCAATTATTCTGTGCTGTCTGAATTGTTTTATGTACACTTTGTATTCTAACATGTATAAAGGTCTTAAAAGTTTAAGTTGGGGAGCCCAATTACTGAATATTACTTTGTGGTATAAAAATACCACAGCTTGTAGTTGACCTTGTTAATTTTTGCTTATTGGGTTCCTTTTGTACTGAAAATGTGACAGACCCTGCTCTTTTTCTTCAAGGTATGCAAAATCCAGTCAGATCAAGACCATGTCCAGCAGCAAGATATTTTTTAAAGGCAGTAGATTTCGATACAGGTGGGTATTTTTCATGGTAAACGATTTCAGAAAGTAGGAGAAAACATCAGTAATTACTCATGGCAAATTGAGGGCTGTTCCGTCTTGAAGCCCTGTTCATACCTAATCCAGGCCAGGATTCAGCACATTTTCTGTTGTCTCTTTAGTGTCATTTATAAAATAAACTGGAGGCTTCATACAGCCTTCTACCAAAGAGCAGTTTCGCCAGAACAGGGCTCCACTTTTGGTGCAGCTTCTGTCAAAAGAAGGCTGCATGGCTAGCTGTAAAGGTGGTATGCCCCCTGTAACTTGGCAACTCTGGACCAGGGGTGCATTGAGTGGGACAGTCCAGTCCCACTGCTGGTGTTCTACAAAAGGTTGCTTTTTCTTCAGTAGCTCTACAGACAAGGAGTCAGCAGAATTTTTAATCTGGGACGTTATATATCCACTACATGGGATTTTTTTCCCTCCCTTTTTTTCCATTTCTTCTTTTGAATGTAACTTAAATTGTTCATGTATGTATAGTGCTTGACATATAAGGAGCTCATCTTAGTATTTGCTTGAATATTTATTTCATGTTTCAATGCAGTGGAAAAGTAGCCAAAGAAGTTGTGGAGGCAAGCTCTAAAATCCAGAGGGAACCTCCTGAAGTTCACAGGTATGTCTTGACACTAAATATTGAAGTTTAAGGACTAAGGAGAATAATTGTTCTCTACAGAGAAATTCTCTTTCCTTTATTGTGAGATGTAATGGCTGTCATTTTGAGGCATGCAAGCCTTGGGAAATACGTGTTGCCAATGTTACAAAATTCTGACAATAGCATATCGTTTCCTACACAAGGGAACTTAATGAGTGCTGCTTCGAAGCTGGGTTTGAAGCTGAATCAATCAGTCAGATAAGTAGTTTATATTATTTTCTGTGTTATGACATAGACTATTATTACATGGTCCTTACAGAAAAGTACATTCTCATTTCATTCCTAGTGCTTGCTCGGTTTTGAAACATTCTGTTTTGTCTATGTATATGGGTATGCTTAAAGGCATAGAATCATAGAATAATATAATCGTTTGCGTTGGAAGGGACCTTAAAGGTCATCTAGTCCAACCCCCCTGCAATGAGCAGGGACATCTTCAACTAGATCAGGTTACTCACAGCCCCATCCAACCTGGCCTGGAATGTTTCCAGGGTTGGGGCATCTACCACCTCTCTGGGCAACCTGTGCCAGGGTTTCACCACCCTCACTGTGAAAAATTTCTTCCTTATATCTAGTCTGAATCTACCCTCTTTTAGTTTGAAACCATTACCCCATGTCCTATCACAACAGGCCCTGCTAACAAGTCTGTCCCCACCTTTTTTCTAAGCCCCCTTTAAGTACTGGAAGGTTGCAATAAGGTCTCCCTGTAGCATTTTCTTCTCCAGGCTGAACAACCCCAACTCTCTCAGCCTGTCCTCACAGGAGAGGTGCTCCGTTCTTCTGAGCATTTTGGTGGCCTCCTCTGGACCCACTCCAACAGGCCCATGTCTTTCCTGTGCTGAGGGCTCCAGAGCTGGACGCAGTACTGCAGGTGGGGTCTCACCAGAGTGGAGTAGAGGGGCAGAATCACCTCCCTCGACCTGCTGGCCACGCTGCTTTTGACGCAGCCCAGGATGCAGTTGGCCTTCTGGGCTGTGAGTGCACATTGCTGGCTCATATCCAGCTTTTCATCCACCAGAACCCCCAAGTCCTTCTCAGCAAGGCTGCTCTCAATCCCTTCTTCCCTCAGCCTGTACTGATAACGGGGCTTGTCCCGACGCAGGTGCAGGACCCTGCATGTGTCTGTGTGGGTATGCTTGTTGGCATACTTCATAGTTTTTCCACAGTGCGGTCAGATTAGAAAGCAAGATGTTCGTTCAGTAAAGAGAAAAAAAATCTGAGATTCTTATTTTTTTTTTTTAGAGAAAAGATTTGGCTTGTTAGAAATAGGCAGCTGGACTTTGTAAGCAAACTAATACTTTCTTGTTCTTAGTACTCCTTGTAGTGACAGTGAAAATTGATAAGAACCTAATTAAAGTACTGCAGCAGAGAAGAAAGAGTCCAGCAGGAAAAAGCTATTTAAAAACTTTTTAAAAAGTTTACTAACTTTCTGGATATTCTACAGCCATATCCCTATGTTTATTGTGATTTTTTTGTCAGAGTTGGGTTCTGTGTGTTTAGTTTTAATTGAATATGGCTATTCCATCTATATCTGAGAGAAAAGTAGATTGTCTTTACTAAAGGGTAGGAATATGTTTGCAGCAAAGATTTATAATTGTGTTGTCCAGCCCTACAATGT